GTACATTTTTTAAATAATTAACTAACATGACACAGATGCCGAAGTCCCATTTTCAGATGTAACTCACATTTAGGAGCCTAAATCTCATTAAAAGTCAATGGGACTTAAGCATCTAAATTACTTTCAAAATGGGGTTTTGGGGTCAGGCATCCAAAGGTATTTAGGCACCCAAAAATATGAACAGCATTTTGTGGGATTTTCAAAAGAGCTTAAAGGAGGCAGATGCCGGTCTTTCATTGAAATCCATGAGAGCTCAGCACCTCTGTGCTTTTTAAAAATCTCATTAAGTGACTAAATACATTTTCAATTCTGGCGGTTAAGCTCCTAAATCACTTAGGCACTTTTGAAAATTGTCTTTGGCCCATAGTTGGGCAAAATTCCCAGTGAATTATCTAAATGATGCAGTTTCAGGGTTTAGCCCATTGATGACATTGAGAATTTCTTCTGGGTAAGGACTATAGGATTTACTTTGTAGTGTTAACAAATGCATTCACAAAAATATACCCTCACTGTGAACAAGCTATTCTCAGAAGGTGAGATTCACTCCCACAAGGGCAAGCACTATGCCTACAGATTCCACCTAAGTTCCATTTATGTGCTCAAAGCTGTGTTTTGGTGGCATATTTGACACTTCTAGCTTTCTGCGAAGAGAGATTTGAACTCTTTTCAACCCTGGATTGCCACTGAATTTCCATCCTGGTATGTAATGCATGGCATGCAACATTGCATCACCTGGAAAATCTAACACTATTTTGGCATCAAGGGGAGTAGCTGGTTTTCCAAGACATGTGGCAATAAGTGATCTGAATATTGGATCAAAACTTTTTGTGTGATGTCAGTTTCCCGTTAGGATCAGAGCAAGTAAGCCTAGATTATGACCATCTGGGCATAAGCAGAATGGTTACTTCCAGAGATAGGCAGGTTTTGGATCAAAATCAGGATGATTTCAGTATAGGTAACATTCAAATGGGAAATTGCTGGGCTTGCATTTTTTTTATCCAGCCTCTATATTCTGTGTGTTGGGGCAGCAATACAAAATACATGTCGGCTGACAGACAGAGTCTAAAACCAGTAAGGATGAACCAGCAGCAACTGCCTGGGTAGCATAAAAAAGACTTGCTGTATAATTGATATAAAGCCATTCAGTGTACTTTCCTTCATAATTGTGGCTGTGCACACCACAAGAGCAGTTAGCAATAACAGTGGAGAAGACAAATTTAGCAAAGGAATTGGGGGTTCTGAGTAAACACTGAAGTCATAACCAATTCTCACTGTTTTTAAAAAGAATGTAGCTTTTGAGACGTGCCTGCCTTCTCCAAAGGCAGGTATTCCTGAAATATGTAATTTTTAAATTATTACTACTACCGAGAAACATTCTTGAAATGGTCTTTGGTTTCCTCAGTATTAAATAATTTATATACGGTACATACAAGAATCTCATATAAACACTTAAAACATTCACGGATACTGAACCTGAAAACTGAACATTGCTTATGCAATACAATTTGCTTTTTTGTTTCAAAATTATTGCCTAGGCTGTGGTTTATCTGGTTATCAGAATACCAAAGGGCTGTAGAAAGTAGGAAATCAAAATGGCCTGGCCCTTGAATGGGTTGCTGAAACTTTTAGTTTAAAGTTTTGGTTCTTACCTCTCTTTTGGGTCAAGACCAATATATCAATCCCTGGATAATCAACAATTTGCCATCTACCACAAAAGAAAGCAAAACTGTAGTCACACTCTCAATACAAACTTTTCTCTCTCTTTTTTTTAAAACTGATACTAAATGCCTGGGAAGCTTCTTGATAATTTCTGGGTGGAAACAAATTTCCGAAGACAATGGGTAAGATTTCTAAGTGGTTTGCTGCCTGCTGAAGTTGGGATCTACTAATAACAAATGTGGAGTGCAAGAGTGTCACCTGCTTTGTAAGGGTGTCACCTGCTTTGTTATTAAATGCAGCTGGTGCTTTACTAATACCAAATGAATTCTATGCAGCCCCACAGACAACACGTAATCAAGTTAACCAGTCCCAGCTGTTTTTGCTTTCACTAGTATTGCCTCCTGCTCTAGTGTTAGGATAACATTCACCATTCCTATTCTAAGCCTGCCAGCAATTCCTTCATTTAAAAAGACCTGAGTTTGTCTAACTGAGCCCACAAATAGGCTTGCGTAGTAGTGTAGTAATTTGTAACAGCTGCACTGGCACTACAGGAAGTAAGCTCAGTGAATTAGAAACAGGCTTAATATTGCTTAGTAGCAACCAGAATGACAACAATGAAGGATATATCTTAAAATTTTCCTGTAGGTACATTTTAAAGAGCACTTTTTCAGAGGCTCAGTCCTGCATTTTTGTTTTGGTGAGTAGCCCCTATTTATACAAGGAATTCAACAGGACTATGTGCATGAATAAAAGATTTGCAGGATTCAACCTTGTATGTGGAATGCATCCCCTCTTTGGACATGTCTAAACTATGTTTTTTGGAAAGAGGATATGCAAATTCTGTGGGAATTTCCATATCTTCTTCTGATCTCACTTCTGAAAGAGGATCTTTCGAAAGTGAAAGTAGTCTGGACACTTTTTGGGGGGAAAAAACCCTTTCGAAAATAACATGTAAACCTTTTTTTTAAGGAAGAGCAGTTTTTTTGAAAGAGGGGTTTTCCCCTGAAAAAACGTGTCCAGATTACTATCACTTTCGAAAGATCCTCTTTCGGAACTGAGATTGGAAGATGATAATTTAAAAAATTCTACATAGTCTAGACATAGCCTATATTACAATATCTGTGCTCTTATTAGCACTTTTAAACCCTGGCCTTTGTTTTCACCAAGGGTTTTTTTTAAAAATAATTGGAAATTCCAATTTTGATCACTGTGCATATAAACCCATAAATTTTCATGATCAGTTTGGATCTGAAATTTGACAGTGTCTGTGAGTTTGATTTTTATAAAGTAATATTAAAGGATGTGTTAAATGCTATGAGAAAGCTCTTCAACCTGGTATTTAATATGGTGGAAAATCATTAAATGATAGACTGAGGTGACTGGATGTTAAAACAGTGCAAAGCTTGAAATGTTGGAGATCTGCTGGTGCTTTGGAGAAAATTTAGGCATTCTATTTAGTTTTGGAAGAATTATGCTTATTATGAATTATGATTTCCCTTACTTTAAAAAAATAATGGCATCAGGATCTGATTTTTTTTGTAGCCTTCATCAATTCCATCCATAGATGTTTCCAGCTGAAGTCATGCTCTGTAATCATGCTGTTATAAACAGTGGAGTGTCTCTTTCTATTATTGGAAGGGGGGCAGAAAAAGAAAAAAAGAGAAGATGAACCCACAAAAAAGAGTCCCACACTGCAGGCTGAACTGGAGAAAAATATAGAAGTGGTAACACACATGCAGAATGCTTTAGAAACAGAATGTTTTCTGTTATTCCCCAAGAAGTATTAATGGGTCATTAAAATACTGTGAAGAAATAGTAAATACAAGGTAGAGAGCAGTGGAGAGATCAGAGACTTATGTTAAATAGAATGGGCAACATGTTATTGCAACCTTACTTACGTATTTCTTATTCATCCAAGTGGCCCCCTCAAACTCCGTTGATGAACAAAGGCCACAGGCTCATATTGTAGAATGGCATACCTCATTGTTCCACCTTTATGGAATATAGTGAATTGAGATTCTCCCTCTGAGACCAAAAGATTTCTGGTAAATCCTTAATTAGCAAGGGAATGGCTGAAGCTACCAGTCCAAAACATTCATGTATTAATGTCTTGCTCCTGTAGAGCAGTGGCTTCACATAACTACTCAAGACCTTATTTGCTGGGCTTGGAAATGGCTACACAGTATAAAAATGGTGGTTTGCGTTTTTTTTTTAAAAGTTACCTTTACAAAAACATTTCCCTTTTTTCTTTTTCCTTAAAGATTTCATTATCTACAGGAACTCATAAAAATTTCTCCATATTTACATCTAGATAACTAATCATTGACAAATATAATATCGTGAAATAAAATATTGAAAGTGAATATCAACCTTTTAAATAGACATTTGGCTCACAGCATAAATGACAGAGAAACCAACAAAAAATTATCTGCTCTTCTACAGGCCTGATTTTTTTTCCAAAGCGCAAAGTAGTATGGATAGGGTGTGCTGCAGCTGCAAACTGCTCCCCTTCAGCACCCTTGGCTGAAAACTGGCATTCTCTGAAGCTGGTGAGAGTGACGGCTGAGGCATACAAGCAACTAGCAGACATGGAAAGCAGCTGACTCCTTGCCCCATTCTTCTATTGGAGCCTCACAGAGACATTGCCTTTTGAGCCCAAGGAACTGGATGGCGTCACATTTCCTCTCCTGCTGCACTTTAAAGATAACAATTTGACTTTATTTTACAATGTGTTTGGCCACTGACATAAGGAAAAGTAAGGCTAGAGGAGGGGGAAAGCGATAGTGTGCAGTTAATTCCCAAGCATGCATGTTCTCTTTCTCTCTCACACACACACACACACACACACACACACACACACACCTCTCTGAAACACTAACTCATTCAAAGGCACAGTTTCTTTAACAAGGAGTAACAAAGTGTGCCTTATAACCCCCACCCCCACTTTGGGTACAATGGATTCCATGCACATTCCTTTCACTGGCAGTCTGGAAAATGCATGAGTGGCAGGTGGTTAGAAGTTCAGTCACAAGTGCTGCTAAATGGCACCAGGTCAGCAATGAGAGTTGCACAACTTCTGCTGAAAGGTTGTGGGGCATGAAACCTGGCTACAAAAGGAGATATCAATTGGCACCAAAATGCAGGGCTCCTTACAAAGGTCTCCACTTTCCATGCGCACCCAAACTTCCTAGAATTGAGGCCTTGTGTTTCTTCACAGGTCATGTGCTAAATTGGTCCAATAAAACTCAAACTACAATAGATATTAGTACATTTAGCCAAATGCGCGCGAGCGCGCGCGCACACACACACGCACACACACACACACACACACACACACACACACACACACACCCACCCTTCTTCCCCACTTCCCCACTTCCCCACATATATGTTAGCAGGATGTATTAACATTCTGAGAAAGCTTTGGAACTTTTATCCCTCAGCATTAAAAGCAAAATCTACTTAATTGGTACCTCACGGTTAACTGCAAATGTGCTTTAGGAGCAGCATTTCCTTCTGTAATATCAGTGGCCACAATATATCATTCCATGTATTTTGCTGAAGAACGCAGCCAATGACCGGCTATGTATATAATTTCACCCTCCCCTTGCCCCCTTAAAGTCTGTAAAAGCCAGTGTTGCGATGCGAAAGCTTCTTGAACATAGAAGTTTAAACAATGTACCTCACCATAGAAAGGAAAGAAAAACAAATCAAACTGCTGTAGGCGCATTATCCCATATTTCTACAGTGTTGTGTCTAAATGTTGTGCTGGCTTGAAAAGGAGTCTGTGCACAAGTCAATCTGTCTTAAAATACTGCTGAAAATATTGTCATTGGTTCAGTTCTATAGCTGTGTTCTCCTCCTCCCCTTTGGGTTTCCCTTTTTCCTCCTCTTCTTCCCTGATGGCCTGAATTTGTTCTGATGACTGGTGCAGCGTGGATTGCTCTAGACCTTGCTTTTCTGTCCCAGCTATTCTTTCCTCATCTTCAATTACTTTCTTCCACATTTTATGGTTCTGAAGCAGGTGCTGAGTGATCTGGCAGTAAATTTTCCTCCTCTTGAACTTTTTCTTTCCTGTAAAATATGAGACCAGATTGCTGTATTATTTTATTGGGAAGGAAGACAGAGAAGGTGGTAGTGCAGGATGGAGAGAGCAAGAGCCATGATATATGGAATCAAACTCCATCTTAATTAGGATTTTTTTTTTTTTAAAGGTACAACTAAAGGGGAAAAAAGCAAGCCAACTTTCATACAATTTGAGTCCCAGCTTTGTAGTTGTTTACCAAGGAATAGAGATGTGAATGGGTAACTGGTTAACGGGTGATGCTTACTGGGGTAAGCATCACTCATACCAGGTAATGCTTACCGGGTACAGGTTAACTGTTGCCTGGGAGCAGCCACCTGCCTTCGGCCTGCCCCAGTGGGCCGGGAGCCAGCGGCAGCTCTAGTGCTAGGACTGGGAGCCTACCGCCACTGGTGACAGCCCTAGTGCTGGGACTGGGAGCCTACTTAGTTGGTTAATTAGTTAAACATTAGGTTAACCTAAAGTTTAATCAACAAACTAATTAATTGGGATATTATATTATTATACTACTAAGGAATAGGGATGCTAGTGTGAAGTAGGTTACATGATTAACCAATTAGCCTGGGCTCATTGCTTAATCATAACGACTACATACAACTCCTCCGCTCTTTGCTGCCCGCTCTTTGCTGTATCAGAAGCAGCAGGGGGGAAGAAGAGGGGGGGAGAAGAGTTGAGAGCCAGTGCCTGAGGGGGGTGTGATTTTAAGCTGACTTCCTTCATGTGCCAGCACCCTCAGAGCTTCCTACCCCTTCTTTCCCGCTGCCTCCCTTGTAAGGGAGGGGGACAGGCGGCTCCACAGAAGTCAACACACATGGACAGTCAGCTTAAAAGCCAGCTGCCCCTGAGCACTGGCTCCCGCCTAAACCCATTCCCCCATGCATAAATGTCTAAAAATACCTGTATTTACATATTTACACTAATGAACAATAGTTAACATCCCTCCCAAGGAGCACACCCTGCTCAAGACACACAACAGAACACAAAGACATCCAATGAATGAATTCTACATTCCCTGTAAAAATATTACGAAGTACATGTCTTCCCCGACTCATTTGGGCATGCAACGTGCTCTTTTTGACAGCAAATATGGCCAACTTCCAGCTGACCAATTTAAGACCCTTCACCACTCTCTGAAATCTTTGGTTTCTTTTTCTCATACCTTACCTATGCACAGACTGGAGCTGTGAGAGGAGACAAAGCAAGCAATAAATGTTCTATAAATTACTCAACAAAATAGCACATATGCATTCTTCCTCTTAAAGACCTGCTCTACACATTACCTCATCTTTGAAATTAAGGATGTTAAAAGGCTGGTAATTGGCTAATCATGTAGTTGGTACAATAGACTTGACTACTCACTTACATCCCTAGTTGAAATGGACCTGAGCGTCACTGAAACAGCAAATGAAAAAAATCAAATCTAGGTTTTACACAGTATAGTGCAGACTGTTGCTATGACAATTGAGTTTGATACCAGATGGACTATCTGGAAAGTTAATAAGTGAAGTCCTATGTAAATTGAAATTTCCTTCTCTCTCTCGTTTTGAGTCACCATGCTGCTATTATACTACAAAACATATTTGCCATTTGTAGTTTCCATTGCCCCCATCATCAGAATCACTTGCACCACAAACTTTTTCCTGCCCTAAGTGACTGCCCACTATTGTAGATAGAGTTGAAGTCTAATAGCGATAGAGTTCTGACAGCTAAAATTCCTTTCAACAAAGCCTGTTGGTTTCCACCAATCGTGAAGAGTGGCAGTGGTGGCTATGGAGCTTAAATAATAAACCTCTTCAGGAATTCTACTGAAAAAAAACCCAACAGTGTGACGTACAGCAATGTTTTGTTCTAAATAAATTTGCGTAAATGAGAGTTTGCAGGTGGCCTAAACCGTGTTTGGGTCAGGAGCCAAAATGTTGAGTCCTTGAAGCTTTTCAATTGGAAACAAAGAGCTTTTCACTGCAGCACAGCCTAAATCCAGTTCAATCCTTCATTAGAAAGCTCTCGGTTCCCTGTTGGAAACTTTCAGGTTTAATAATAAGAAACCCTCTATTCCACCAATGCACCATATTAGTACATTCTATCCCAGGTTTCTTGTGACCCCAAATCTTGCAGTTCTCAGCAGAGATTGTTTGAACCCAATAAAGACTAATTCAGTTTAACTCTTACATTAACAACATGACTTGTCAAAAGTTATCAGTTCAGATATAACAAAATAGCTCTTGTTTTTAAGCTACATTAATTGTTTGCAGGTCAGACAATACAGTGGTTCATTTTAGTAAAGCCCAATTATCTAAAATGTTCTAATAGATTACCACGACTATGATGAAATGCCTTTTACAATAAATTCCCCTTTCCATCTTCCCAAAGATATTTCTTTTAGAGTTGACCAGAATATGGTAAAAAAATTCTCTAAATATCTGACAGAGAAATGTAAATCAGAGGCATTCATCCCCTTGATAAAAGCCAATGTCTTTTGTGTTGTGCTGAAAGAGCTTGGAATATTCAAAATGACATAGAAACAGATTGAAATACCAGACTCATGTTTGTAATCTTAGAGGGAGAGCCATGTTAGTCTGTAACTTTAAAAACAATAAGTGGACTTGTGGCACATTAGAGACTAACCTATATAGAATCATAAGCTCTTGTGGGCAAAACCCACTTCATCGGATGAATTGCAGTGGAAATAACAGAAACCAAGAGATATGTCTAACAGCAGAAGTACTGACAAGCCCAGCTTTTGCTGTTTTTGTTAGTTAGATAGATATCTGTTATTTCCACTCCAATTCATCTGATGAAATGGGTTCTGCCCACGAAAGCTCACGATTAGAAATATCTTGGTTAGTCTCTAAGCTGCCAAAGGAACACTCTTTTTTTGTAATCTTGTAAATAGATTCATCAGCAAGGAGGATGTTGAAGAAAGATCTACCTTAGATTTAGACTTTCCAGGAATTAAAGATGAGGGACTAAGGTGTCAAAAGAAGAGATGTTGAAAGAAACTGGTACCCTAAATTATACCAACCTACATGCCCAGATAGTGTAACCCCTTAGACAGCTTAAATTTAAAATTGCTGTTAAAAATACATAATCTGTCACTGAAATAAACTACTACACCTGAGAACTGAATGATAGCAGACACAGTATGCATATTTATTTTGAATGGTTCAGGCTATGAAGCATAATTTCAGTGCCAGTAAAACTGCACAATACAATAATTAAAAGAGAATTCTTGTAAATCTCTAAGGGTATGTCTAGACTACAGGCTTTTATCGACAGAAGTTTTGTCGACAGATACTGTCGACAAAGAGCATCTAGACTACAGCCAGTTCTGTCGACAAAGCAAGCCGCTTTGTCGACATGACAGTGTAGATGCAATAATGCCTTCTGTCGACAGAACTCTGTTGACAAAAGGCATTATTCCTCGTAGAATGAGGTTTACAGCCGTCGACAAAACTGCTGAGTTCTGTCGACGTTATGTTGACAGAACTCAGAGGCAGTGTAGACGCAGGTATAGTTTTGTCGACAAAAGTCCACTTTTGTCGACAAAACCCTGTAGTCTAGACACACCCTAAGTTGCACATAACAAATCAATCTGACCTTCATGAAGGAAAAGGGTCTCAATTTTTTAAGCATGTTGACAAAATAGGAAAAGAAAAAAACTGGCAGGAAGAATTTATTTGTACCTTCAAAAGCCTTTGACATAGCCCTCACCAGAGCCTACAAAGGAAACTAAGTAGCTGCATGTCAGACAAAATATTGTAATGTTATAGAAACTAAGTGAGAAAACAAAAAGAAAGAACAAATAGGTATTTTTCAATATAGCATCAGATTAGCAGCATCCCATAATTTTATACCAGGACTAGTACTGTTTAATACATTTATTAATAATTGGAAAAATGAGTGAAACAAAGATGTGAATTTACAGATGACAAAAAATCTTTAACAATAATCAAGAATTCAAAAGACAATGCGGAACTTCAAAGAGCTCTAACAATTCTGGCAGGATGCTGGCAAATGAATATGAATCAGCTGTTCTATTGACCTCTTCTCATAAAAGGACAAGAGGATATTTAGTGGACATGAAAGATGATAAAATTAAAGCTTTTTTTTAAAAAAAACAGGCAATAGACAATTAACATATGTAACTTACTACCACATGATGTCATGGAGGCCAAGAGAGTAAACGTATCTCCAAAAGAGTCTAGACATTTTTGTAGATTATAACAGCCACTGTCATATTAATTAAGGTTATTTTTTAAATAAATGTAACACATATAAAGTGTCATGCTCCAAAGGATAAGTGAACCACTAACTGAAGAAATTTCCCCTCTCTGATCAATTCCTCTGAAGAAGAGCATCTCTTGGTATGCTCTAAAGTTTCTCTCACCAACAGAAGTTGGTTCAGTAAAAATATTACCTCACTCCCTTTGTCTTTCCAATATCCTGGGACATACACAGATCAACAATACGGCAAACAGCTTTTCAATGGTACTGACCATTACTAAAGCAGGATACTACACTAGGCAGCCCAGTAGGGCAATTCCTATATGTTAATGTTGCCAACCTATACACATGAACATAATTCATTTATGAAGAGAACTCAAAGTGGATGAGAACGGCGGTTTATTAGTTATAAGTTACAGTATCACATGTGTGGTTGAAGAGGCCATATGGTTCAGTCGATAGAATTCTGGATCCCCAGCTCAAATCTGAGGTCAAATACTGACTCTCTCTCTAACCTTAAGCAAGTCCTTTCACCGCTCACATCATCAAGTTCTTTATATATAAAATGGGAATAATACTGACCCTGTTTTACGGAGAACTTTGAGATTATCAGGTAACAAACACTATACAAGTACTAACTATTACTAATATTGTACTAGAACTCTTATGGCTTCCTCGCCCTACCCTAGATCCAGTCCTCCTTCCTAGGAAAAGGTTGTGTTGGAGAAATAGGGAAGGCTCACATGGGATGCCAAAAAGGAAGGCAAAGGAGAAGGCAAAGGAACAGAACTAAAATTGGAGAAGGGAATGCAGAAGGAGGAGGAACAGAAAAGAGGTGGTATAATGAGGCAGTGTAACACCTTACAAAACTGAAGGGGTTATGTCCCCCTGATGGGTGCAGCTAACCTTGCCCTATTCCCTCCACAGGAAGTGCAGGGGTGGGCAGGAAGTATAAGAATGGGGGCCAGATAAGAGAAGGTGGCAGGCATATCTCCCAGGGAGCTGAGCTTCCATCTAGCATATAACTGGAAGCAGAATGAAAAGTCAAACCACTGCCCCACGAGACAGAAAGCGCCAGGGAGATACTAGAAGAAGGAACACCTGACCACGAGACTGAAAGCCAGATCCCAGTGGTGACAAAGCAGCACAGCAGGAAAACAAGGCTTTGATCCTGCTGAGACAGCATGTTTCTTTGCTAACTCCATGGTAGGATCACCCACCACTTCTAGCACCCTGGGCTGAGACCGTAGTGAAACTGGGTCCCCCTACCTTCAACCCTATATGTGGGGCTAGTAGCATGTTCTTCTTTAGGCCAGCTAATGTTAATTGCTCAGCTCACACTCAGAGTCTGAGGAATGGAATATTGCCATTTAACCCAGCCAGGAGGCCTAGGCTCACAGCTGACTGGTAGTTGGCTTAATCCCCATACAGAGGTCTTAACTGCTATTTGAGCGACTGTGCCTATTGAATCCCTGATGCCTGATGCACCCTGACCCAGATATGGGCAGGAAGGCTACAGGGTGTATGTGCTGAGGTACTGGATCAATTTAAAAGGAAACTACCAAGAGACACAGGTTCCAAATTAACTTACCACTTCAAAATATTTTTCACAGAGTCCTTGACATCTCCTTGTACCAATGCTTTCTCCTAGAGGCCAATCACTGCCACCATCATACGTTCAGCAAAGGACTAGCTTAGCTTGGGAATCTACCAATATTACTTTGAGTATCGTGAAAAATGTTCTGGACCTAATCTCTTAGGGTACGTCTACACTTGCTCCCTAGTTCGAACTAGGGATGCAAATGTAGCCGACCGAAATTGCTAATGAAGCAGGGATTTAAATATCCTGTGCTTCATTACCATAATCTCACCCTCATGCTATTTCATTCGCTAGTTGATTCAAACCAGAAAGTGCACTCTGGGACATATTAGTTCGAATCAAACCCCTTGGTTCGAACTAACGTTACTCCCCAAAAAGTGAGGAGTAACATTACTCAAAAAGTGAGGAGTAACATTAGTTCGAACCAAGGGGTTTGATTCAAACTAATGCGTCCCAGAGTGCACTTCCTGGTTCGAATCAGCTGGTGAGAGGAATAGCGCGCGAGCGAGATTATGCTAATAAAGCGCAGGATATTTAAATCCCCGCTTCATTAGCAATTTCAGTTGGCTACATTTGCATCCCTAGTTCTAACTAGGGAGCAAGTGTAGACGTACCCTTACATGCCAATGCATAGCACTACCATGAATATAGCAAACTGGACCCCTTTCCACAAGAAGTCTTTAGAAGCTTCTCTACTCTCAGAATGTGGGACCACCTGTTGAACCCCTTGGGGGACAGTTCAGCTAGCCCAATTATAGAGAAATTCAGGTTGTGGCTGACCAGCATAAACTCTGTAAGTTTTTCTACAGGGGTTTCTTAACTTTTGCTCAAGGGCAGTCCACAATGTGAAATCATCACCATTGATAGATAGATGCAAACACATACTTGACTCAGAAGTTTCACACATTTCCATTTCTGCTGTTTCTTCCTCTTCATGTTCATCAGTATCTCCTGACTCATCGCTATCTTCCACCCATTTCCCTGGCATCAGCCCTGCTGAGTCATAGGAATTACACAGTGGACCCACAATGTGAGAAATGAAGGATTCCTGAAGGTGTGCCAACTGAGGAGCTGAGCGATCCATGAAAGGACTTATCGGAAGGCCAAGGCTTGCCTCTTCATCACCCTAGAGAGCACAAAAATGTGTTACTTCTGAGAGAGACATTAATTAGCTGGAAATGTGGGGGAAAAGGTAAGGGAAGCTTCAAAGGCAATTGCAAAAATTAGAAGGAAAATTATTCTGCTGTAGAGCCATTTCCTTTTCCCATTTCCTTTTTTAAAGCAGACTAGCAAATAAAAGGTAACACTGCATACTCAAACACAAGAAAAATCTGCTATGAAGAATACCCTGAATTTACAAAGCATGGTATATGAGGACTTTGTAAAATAATCACATCTTCCAGTCCTGTAGTTTACATTGATGTATTGGAAGCTTGAAAATGAAAATCACCTTTCTCCATGTTCTTTTTTCCCCATAATGTATGCAAATCATTTGTGATTTTTATCATCATCAGTAGCTTTCTAGCAATTAGTCACCTTATTCACAAGAGGATGAGATTTAACTTCTCAGAAAAGGGCTGGCTTGTCAGACTAGTTGTCTTATGAATTTTGCCTCTCTTTTAAGCTGTGTTACACTTAAGTTGGGCAACTCCTCTTTCATGTTTAACATGCCATGTTTTAGGCCATAGCCAATCATTTCCTGGAGAATCTTGTAACGAACATGCCAATGTAGGGTCTTTCAGAAATGCAAAATCCTCCACACATGTCTTTTTGTGGCCAAGTGGGGAGGGAGGGGGAGAGAGAGACAGAGAGAGAGAGGCGGGAGGGGAACGGAAAGAAAGAAAGTGCACCCCATCCTGGTGCTCTGATTGAAGAGCTGGTTTTCTAGCAAGGTCCACTCTATGAACCAAATACTCAATTTCTTTTATAGTTATCCCTAGCACAGCAAAATTATTTTATTATAGGATTTAGTTCTATAATAAAAGAATTGATAATGCATGTGACTTGTACAAACTGATGTCAACTAGACAACAAAGAGCAGCATTTGAGAAAAAAACAGGGCATGAACTTTATTGAAGACCCATACTCAGTTTCTAAGACATTACTTCCAGTCTGAATTTGTTTCCAAATACCAAATCTTAGGTTCTCAGGGAAACTAGGTAACTAAATCATCACCCTTTTGAGAAAAGAGAAGCCCAAAAGGTAAACAGTTAAACTTTTGATGAATGCCTCACTTCCAGCTTTCCTGCATTTCCTAACAAGGTGCACACAGCTCAGTGATCAGCTATCAAATATTTGAGACCCCCCATCATTATCTCAAACCCAAAATGTGTGCACATTCCTGAGATAACAAGTGGATTAACCAGAGATGGCAGGTCTCTCCACTTCATAGCATGACATCTCAGATTTCATGTGAAGAAGTTGTCAGTGGTGGGAAGAAAGTTGACTGATGAAAAGTTTAACATGTAATTCTTTCAAGCTTGATGGTGAGGTTGATTTACAGTTTGGAACATTATACTGCTTTTTTTATTAAATAGATGTCTAACTGGTATACCTTTAAATATCAGCTTTGAGCACATGGAGGAAATGAATTTAACATACTGTGACAATACTGCGTATGTGTTTTTCTAAATTTAAACACAGTAAAGTTTTTGATAACACTTGTACAGAGCTGTAATTTTTCAAAGCCTGGTGCACCTTTGTTTTTTAATAGAGAAGGGTACCGTCAAGAATGGCTCAATTTTCATAGCACATGCTGAACTATATTGTACATTTGCAATCCAGTTTTCAAGGAAACCTATTTGGGGAAGATCGGTATATTCCTTAAAATTCCTCCTTCAAAAATGAGAAACTGGATGTTTTCCCTAATACAGATAAATTATTTCAGGGACTGAGACAGTGGGTAGGCTGGTGGGTAGTAGCCAAGTATAAGAGCCACTGGGCCCGATCCCAGCTAGGGTAAATCAGCTGATACATATGAGTCCATTGTCTTTAATGCCTCCACCAAGTTCTGGAGGCAAATTGCTACTGTACAGCATGTTGGTATGGCAACTAATGTCATTCAAAGGACACAATGGAAAGCACATTGCATAAAGCACTTGGAAGCATTGATTTTTTTTCAGGAACAAAGTGCACTGATTAAAAATATCTAACAATTTAATAGAATGTTTCTGGCTAGCAGCAGCCATGTTGTAATCTACTTGCAAACATATTATATAATGCCCATCCCCAAAGGAAGATGGAAAGCAAGGGCAACAAAGATAAAACCTTAATCAGTGAGCCAACAGAATTTACTGTAAAAAAAGACAACAACGTAATAATTTTACTGATCTTGTTTCAGAGTTTATTGTCAACGGCTTTTATGACAATGCTGGCTATAGTATACCAGAACAAGTACTCTGCGTGCCATTAGCTCTGATGGAGCCAAGGTGAGCCAGATCATTATACTTGATTGGTTTGCAGTGGTGTTGAAATGACTGCATCTCTTTATGGGAGGTACCATGAGGTGCAGCAAACAAACAACAGAGTCCTGAAAAAAAAATCCAGGCAATAATGGCAGAACTTACTCTTGCAGTAGGATCTATTTTTAGTGATTAGTCTTATATTTGAGCAGAGGCCAATCTCCTCTTGCATCCTCCAGTGCTTTGAATGAGGAGGCCAGATAAATGCTTGAATTTTTCTTCCTCTCACTCCCCCTACATATACTACCAGGGAGCAGAAGGAGGAAGCCAGCCCTTTCCTAATGACGTCACTAATGTGCTAAAATTAGGGGCTGTCAGCATCCTGCAGTGACCTCTGGGTCACTGTCCAGCCCTTCCCAAAAGATTCTGGGGTGTTGGGAGGAAGTGGGTTAGCCTACTGGCCTATTTCTGATTATGTAAAATGTGCAGTATAGTTACCCAGAGCCCTCAGCGCTCACAGTGGCCCTAGATGCAGTGGGATAGGTTCCCTGATTACAGGCCATGCTGATTGGGCAAAATAGGTGGATTTTGAGAAAGTTTAACATGTACAACTGGAAAAGATTAAGATCAGAGCTCTCTCAGAACCCAAACTTCCAAATGAGTATCAGTGGGTTGCTTTGCTTCCAATTCTTGCAAACCAAGCTATGGTGTTTTGTTCCTGAATGCCATTGTGAACTTTGAATGCTGACTAGTTGACAAAACCAGAAAGTGTATTCCTCAAACTAAAAAGAAAAGTTATTTCACTTAGCACTGAAATGCAGTAAACTTCACAGTACAACATAGCAACATTACAGAATAGTAAGACATTCCTGTTTTGGACACACATTTTACCTGTTCATAAAATTCATTAACAATGCCCTCTGTCCACTGCAAATGCAACTCTTTGCATTTAGCAGGCCCATTGATGTCAGCCAGTTTGATGCACATTTGGCAAACCAGCAAGCGGTCATTTTCATTAGTCCAATCAATACCAACTTCATCGTTCACCTGGAAGAAAGGGAGTGAAAGCCATTACAATAGCCCATGATAAGAGGAAACTCTTGTTCTGTGTTTTGCTAAACCAAGCTCAGCTACTGAATGAAAACTACAAACCACATTACTGAGTGATGTAGCTTATTATGCAGTTAAAGTAACCAATTTTTGGTAATTTTCAATAGCTTAGATAGCTAAATAAGGATTATAAAAAACTGTTTGTTTTTAGAAATACCTGTTACTGTTTCAGTATTACTATTCATTGAATGAAGATGTCTTTCTGTGTCTGTGTGGCTGCCTTTTTAGTGATATTTCCCAGCTGCTGACCCATTTGATGTGCAGGAGGGCAGAAATAATTCTTTTCCCCTTTAGAAAGCATTAGAAATGAGAATTCCTTGTTACCTTGGCATTGAATCTGGCTACAAAATCAAAGTGTTTCTTCAGGTCAGTGGCCAAAATAGCCTCAATTACAAGGAAGCGAAAATGCTTGAACTCCACGTGATCAAGGTTGACTAAGAAGTTATATTCTGGCCTGGACATGAAAAGATTCCATGCAGCAGCTGCATGATGGTTCTCCAAAACAGAGCGATCGTTATACAGCACGGCCTGTGGAAACAATTCACTGAATTAAGAATTCACCTAACATATGAAACAGAAAAACTGGAAATAAGAATGGCTATTGGAATTATGAAATGGCTTTTGATAATGGGACAAATGAGAGAAAGGATCAGGTCTTAAAAAAAGTTGCAGAGAATTCGGACAGCAGTAATAGATTTTAAATATCTTTCCTAGTCGTTGTTAAGACTGATTTGGAAGTTTCAGGTCTTATCTTCCAGACGATCTTTCATTTCTGGTTGACCAGGGCTATGATGAATCAATCTAATTTTATATTCACCATTAATGCATTGGAAGTGAACAGAAACTCACCACGTGGCAGTGGCAAACTGGAAATATGAGATCCTTTGGAGTGTCAGACCTAAAAGTGCACGCATGTGTGTATGTGGGTTATATATATTTTACACAGTCACACACTTTAATATTAGCCATTAATGCATATTAAATACATTATTTAGATAAATAGAGCGTGAGCGAGCAAGAGAATGAGACGTCTCATCACCTCGTCTTCAAGAGCAATGACGTTTTGTGGTTGGGGTTTCTGACTGGGTCTTTCAATCTACTATGGTTACTCAGACCACCTGTATAGGCTGATGGGAACTAACAGAATTCCTGGCCCCTGGGCAAGGTGGTTAGGGGGGGGGGGGCTGCCTCTGTACTCCCAGAAGGGGCAGGGCCTCAGGAGGAAGGAGCAGGTCAGCCCTTGGAGCTGCCCAGAATGCCCCACCACTGCTGTAGCCCTGGATTTAAAAGCCCTGGGACTCCAGCTGCTGTTGCAGTCAGTGGCCAGGAGCCCCAGGGCACTTGTAAATCACTAGGCCATGGGGCAGCTCCCCCCATCAGTGGGCCTTCCTGATCCTATGTTTTAGACATATATGACCTGACAGAACCTGCAACACCAAAATCCCCAATTGGTTAAAATCCTACTCATGTTGAAGGCCCCGGCTCTGAGAAATGATGGATTTCCATTGAAAAACTAGATTGCACTAAGGAATATAGGTTAAGGAATAGTCCCAGGATTTAAAGTCACATGGTCAAATTGTGTTTCAACTTCAGCCACAATCTCTTGGCTGTTTAGCATAAGGAGAAACATACCAAATTTGTCTGGGGATACAGCAGAGGTTTTATTTAGTTTTGTGGAGATGTGTTTACATACATTCAAGCACATACTTGATCATCACTGTTTTCACGTACCACCTGCGTCAGAGTAATATTGTTTTTGTCTTCAGAAGCCATCACTGTTCCTCACTGCTTATATCGGGTAACAAAATTTGAGCTGCTGTGAGCAGCTTAGCCACAGACGAAACATGTCAGCCATGTGAGACATCTGCCCTGATAGATGGGATAACTCATGATAGGAGAGTTTTGGCTAGGCAGCACTTTGCCATTCCTCAAGTCCCACTGCTGCTGCTCTGGTACCAAAGCAAGTCATCAAAAGAGGGCAGGAACCAAATCTGAATGGCAACTTTGCAGACTTCATCTGATACCAAAGTGAAGTGATATCCAACAGGAACTTTGGTGCTGTCCATTCATTTACAGCCCAGTAAATATTTGCTCTTGAAGTACATCAGCTAACTTCTATTCTTGATTTTTTACAACTGGCTAATCACAAGTGTTTTTGCTGGCTCTTAATAGAATGCAAAAGCAGCTTTTCTTTCAAAAATGGGCATAGTACCTAGCAATCATCAATGGATTTTATCTTGCCAACGTCCTTATAAGGTAGAGAAGTGCTATGATATACAGGCAGTCCCCGGGTTACATACAAGATAGGGACTGTAGGTTTGTTCTTAAGTTGAATCTGTATGTAAATCAGAACTGGCGTCCAGATTCAGCCGCTGATGAAACTGATCAGTTTCAACAGCGGCTGAATCTGGACGCCAGTTCCGACTTACATACAGATTCAAATTAAGAACACACCTACAGACCTTTTAAATCAATTTAAATGCATTATTGAAAGTCCAGGGAGGTTAAAATGTTCCCCCGTAGGTTTACGTGTGTTACCATTTCTGATGTCTGAATTATGTCCATTTATCTTTTGGTGCAGAGACTGTCTGATTTGACCAGTGTATATGGCAGAGAGGTATTGCTGGCACTTACTGAAATATAGCACAGTAGAGTATGTGTGGGTGTTTGAGCCCCTGTTATTCTGGCTTATGTAGTTAGATCCTGTGATGGCATTGATTATATAGATATGTAGACAGAAGTTGGAATAAGTCATCCATTATTCTGAATTTATTTCAAAATAACAGAATTGTTATTGCTATTCCAAAACAACACTGCTGTGTAAATACACCCTTGGTCTGACTGTACTTCAGTTTTCCATCTACAGGCAGTCCCCGAGTTACGCGGATCTGACTTACGTTGGATCCGCAGTTACGAACGGGGCCCTTTCCCTGGTCTCCAGCAGACCAGGGAGAGGAAGCAAAGCGGCGGAACACGTGCTCCGCGGCTTTGCTCTGCTTTGCTCCCCGTCCCCCTGGTCTGCAGACCAGGGGGACGGGGAGCAAAGCAGAGCAAAGCCGCGGAGCACGTGTTCCGCCGCTTTGCTTCCTCTCCCTGGTCTGCTGGAGACCAGGGAAAGGGCCCCGTTCGTAACTGCGGATCCAACGTAAGTCAGATCCGCGTAACTCGGGGACTGCCTGTAGATGGAAAACTGAAGTACAGTCAGACCAAGGGTGTATTTACACAGCAGTGTTGTTTTGGAATAGCAATAACAATTCTGTTATTTTGAAATAAATTCAGAATAATGGATGACTTATTCCAACTTCTGTCTACATATCTATATAATCAATGCCATCACAGGATCTAACTACATAAGCCAGAATAACAGGGGCTCAAACACCCACACATACTCTACTGTGCTATATTTCAGTAAGTGCCAGCAATACCTCTCTGCCATATACACTGGTCAAATCAGACAGTCTCTGCACCAAAAGATAAATGGACATAATTCAGACATCAGAAATGGTAACACACGTAAACCTACGGGGGAACATTTTAACCTCCCTGGACTTTCAATAATGCATTTAAATTGATTTAAAAGCCATTTTTTACAAAGTAATTATATCACCCTATTACATAGAGGAGCAGCTGAAGTGGAGTTCATTTACAAGTCCAATACTATCAACATACACTTTAATAAAGATCCTTTCCAGTTACAGGCACTACAAAAGCAATTTGCCCACCTTTAATAGTCACATCTCCACATCAAATACTGTGGGGCCATGTCTACACTAGAAGATTATTTTGAAATTATTAAGTTCGACTTCTGGGCACCCAATTTTACAAATTCGAAGTTCCATGTCCTCACTACAGAGAAGAATCAAACGTAGTCCAAGGCAGGCTCCATTAATGTGGATGTGCGACTTCAGACTCAGGGCTCCAGGAAGCACTCTGGGGAGCTGTGGGTGGCTTTCCAGTGGCCAATTAGTTGTAATTAGGAACACTGAAGCATCCACTCTAATGTTATTTCACACTTAGAAGTTTAGGAATAGTGTTATTCCTCATGAAAAGCAGGACTACAAAGTTTGAGTTCCACAGCCCTTATTCCTGAATAACGAGCTTGGTAACATGCTTAGAAAATTGACTTTGAGGGGCTAATTCTGGACTAAAGTCCTGGTGTAGACCAGGCCTGAATTAGACACATCTACCCTGAATCAATTAGCTTGTTTATCACTGGTCCTACAATTGACAGGTAACTTCTTTTGTTGTTTATCTCTCTATCTGTCTCTACTGTGTACAGATGTAGTCTCCTCACCTCAAAAAAGATATTTTGGCCTTGGAAAGGGTTCAGAAAAGGGCAACTAAAATGATTAGGGGTTTGGAACGGGTCCCATATGAGAGAGGTTAAAGCGACTGGGGCTTTTCAGTTTAGAAAAGAGGAGACTGAGGGGGATATGATAGAGGTATATAAAAATCATGAGTGGTGTGGAGAGGGCAGATAAAGTTATTTATTAGTTCCCATAATAGAAGAACTAGAGGACACCGAATGAAATTAATGGGTAGCAGGTTTAAAACTAATAAAAGAAAGTTCTTCACACAGTGTGTAGTCAACCTGTGGAACTCCTTGCCAGAGGAGGCTGTGGAGGCTAGGACTATAACAGAGTTTAAAGAGAAGCTAGATAATTTCATGGAGGTTAGGTCCATAAAAGGCTATAAGCCAGGGGATAGAAATGGTGTCCCTGTCCTCTGTTTGTCAGAGGTTGGAGAAGTATGGCAGGAGACAAATTACTTGATCATTGTCTTCGGTCCACCCTCTCTGGGGCACCTGGTGCTGGCCACTGTCAGCAGACGGGCTACTGGGCTAGATGGACCTTTGGTCTGACCCAGTATGGCCATTCTTATGTTCTGTAAACCTCATTCCATGAGGAGAACACCACCTATTGGCTGTGTCTAGATTGACATGATTTTGCGCAGAAGCAGCTGCTATTGCACAAAATCTTGCCACCTGTCTACACTGGCCGCGAGTATTTCACAAGAACACTGACTTTGTAATGTACAAAATCAGTGGTTCTTGTGCAAATACTCTGACGCTCCCGCTCAGGGATAAGCCCTCTTGCGCAAGTATTCTTGCGCAAGAGGGCCAGTGTAGACAGCAACGTTAATTTCTTGCGCAAGAAAGCCTGATGGCTAAAATGGCCATCGGAGATTTCTTGCGCAAGAGCACGTCTACACTGGCACAGATGCTTTTGCGCAAAAGCAAATCTTTTGCGCAAAGGCACATGCCAGTATAGACGCTCTCTTGCGCAAATACTTTTAACAGAAAAACTTTTCCGTTAAAAGTATTTGCACAAAATCATGCCAATCTAGACGCAGCTATTCTGAAATAACTATTTTGGAGTGTGGATGCTCCACTGCTGCTATTTCAAAATAACTCTTCCCCAGGGCCATTATAAGTAATTACTCCCCAGTGCCTCCTTAGGTTCTAAATCAAGGTAGCATGTCCACATTAGGGAAGCCTGCCTTGGACTAATTTTGAGGCTTCCCTGCAGTGTAGACCTGCTATTTCAAAATAAGCTATTTTTAAAAAAAACAAATACATCAATAAGTTAAATATAAAAAAATCCATTTAGCACTAAATGAAAATTCTTTAATGGTAATGGTGCTGAGATTATGTACAGAGTTAGCGCACCATGCTCTACAACAATCACAATATGTGCAATAAGAAATACAGTAGCTGATGCTAACCATTTCCATAGTTTACATTAGGCAAGTACCTGATGCAAGCCAGGAATAATCCTTAACAGTGAAGAGTTGTGCTCAAGTCTTTGGAGGCTTAACCATTACGTGGACTTAAAAACACTGCCCAACACTTACCTGAGGTGCGCTGGTTGCAACCAAAAAGGCATTGGTCCTTCCTGGATGATCATAATCATGCATGGCTGCAGCTACATAGAGCGCCATCAATTCTAGGGCAGGGATGTTGCCAGCTAGGCAGCCGTAGCTATCATCCGCAGGTGTACACATCTTCGAAAACACATATCCCATATGGCCATGAGTGATTCCACTATCAGAATCTGAGCAGAAATAGAGTCCCTTATTGAGGTTTAATTACTTATTGAAAATATAGACCACGAGCAAAATTGTGTGCCTGTGTGTTGCAAAACAAACAAAAAACAAAAAATATTGACCAAACCAATCATCTCCGATCTGGTCTAGCAACACAATGCAGAAACACATAACTCCAGGATTTCTGGTATTTTGTGTATGTTTCAGCAACTCAAAAATTACTGTTACCCTAACTAGAATTAGCAGAATTGGATTTTTTTTATTATTCTGATCAATTTTTTTATTATTCTGATATCAATGTTTATTTTAAGCATTTTTTCCAACTTTTATTTAAAGTTTCTCTGTTGTGCAAAAGATGGGTTTTTAACATTTTCCTCTTTTTATGTATGTAAATTTTGGAGAAAATAATGGGGGATTCAGGCAATAATTATTCAGTGGCAGGATATGTTTCAATTAAAAAAGTCAAAACTTTATAAAACCGTTAAACACAAACAGTTAACATCACGTGCCAAAAGTAAACATCTTTAATCAAGTTCTTAGAAATTCTCAAGCACCGTTTTTCTTAATTTACCTAGATGTAATTTTGGTTAATATCAATGAATTTTTTTTGTTAGTTTGTGTGTATACAGTACAATCATTGTTAACAACATTTACCAATCAAAATAAAAACTTCAAGTCTAATCAGAACACTTTAATATTATGAGCCATTAATTCATTCATTTTGAGGCATTAATCAATGAGCACTCTAGAGTTTCTTAGCTAAATCCAAGCTTGCATAATATGGCTCTCTGGACCACATAGAGGTTTATGAGTCATTTCCAGACGTTGAGCTAATAGATTTGTGCCTTTATGCTCAGAGAGTGGAGGTACATGCTTTTAGACATGGAGGTTCTGGGACCAATCTCTGCTGTCCACAACCTACACAGAAGTCTTCTGGAACATATCACTTCCTGAGGCAGATACTGGACAAGACAGATCACTGGCCTATTCTGCTACGGTGATTCCTATGAATGAACGTCTTTCAAAAATGTTTCTGTTTAAAACCACTCTATTTGTAAAACATCTATCCACCCAAAAGATCCCAAGTGTTTATTAAACAATACACACCAACTCCGCTAATCTGCAGACATCATTGACGTCATCACTTAAGTAGCTTGTAGAAAGAACGGGCTTAAAAAGAATATAAAAAGTAAGATGGTCCTACAAAGCTTACAAGAGACTTGAATTCATATATTTTTAAAGAGTAAAATATTGTGCTTCTACAGTATTGTTAGGACCCTACCAAATTCCTGGTGGTTCATTTTGGTAAATTTCCCAGTCCCAGGATTTTAAGCATCTTAAATTTCATGGATTCAGATACCGAAATATGAAATTTCAAGGTGCTGTAACCATAGGTAACCTGACTCAAAGGGAGGTAATGGGGTGGTCGCAAGTGTATTATAGGGGAGCTGCAGTATCGCCACCCTTATTTCTGTGCTGTTGGCAGCAGTGCTGCCTTCAGAAGTGGGTTTTCAGCCAGCAGCCACAGAGATTACTGCACCCAAGGGAGATTCCTGAAGCTGGGTCTGACAATGGTCCAT